AGTCTATCAACCAGACAAGCTTTAGGCTGCTTTTCACATCAGTTGCTATTATCTCAGTCTGTGTTCCTCCAATCAGCCGATTGCTTGGAGGTGTGTGTGTGTGTGTGTGTGTGTGTGTGTGTGTGTGTGTGTTTGTGTGTGCTTATTTTCTCTCCCAGCCTGAGCACCTGCTGGTTCAATGGGGTGTGGGGGAGCTTCCATCCTAATTCTCTACATGGCCTCTACTGGTTTGAGGCAGAGTGGCACTGCAGTGTGTGTGTGTGGGGGGGGGGATTTACTGCATTTTTAAACAATCACACCTCATATCTATCTCTATCTATCTATCATCAAATAATCTCTCAACTGCTCCCTTCTTGGTGAGGCTGACCTACCAAAACTGGAATCAGAGTACAAACTCTACTACTAACTGGAGGGAAAGGTTTGACCCAAGTACCTTCACCTCTCCAATGAAGGATGCAAACCACATCTCACATTTCTTTGTTGCTTAACCCTGAATTCCTTAATATTTTATGGAAATCTTCATATGTCATTATAAAGATTTAGTTTTGAAAATCTTCACAACACTATTTATAATAACAAATTATCAAACTGACTATCCATTAACTAGAAATGGATTAAACTAATTATTTTTCCTGCAATAGAACAGCTTTGTAAAATTTTTAATGTATTATTTAACATAGAAACTGTTCATAACCTTTTTATTTGCACACTGTGAACAACAGGACACATCTTCCAATTAAGAAATATTTTCCCGGAAAGATCTACATTTTAGCACGCGTTCTGAAAGCAAATCATGATTTGGTGGCACTATGAATGTCATCTTCTTTCTTCTTATCTTTATTTTTCTCATTTTTTTACAAGAAATATAAATCATTCCAAGAGCTAGGAATATAAACCCAAATCTTCTAAAAAATTTCCACTGAGCCTACTGCCTTTTCCTCTTAATGTCTTTACTTTCATGGCATCATAGGTTTTTGCATGTTTACCTTTGAATCTACCTTGAGAGACACAAGTCCAAACACATCTGAGAAAATAAATGAAGCCTTCTGCAACCCTGAATTTGCACATCCAGTGGAAATCCCTGCTGTGGCGTTTTCCTCCCACTCTATCTCTGCCCTGGGAGGCAAAGCTGTAAATCATGTCCACTAATGAGGCAGCACTGGGGCCACCAGCATCAGCTGGACACTCAGGGACGTGGAGAGGCCGTTGCCAACTTCCTCACATGGGGGCCCTGATGATCCTTTCATGACTCTCTTCCTGATGAGACACAGTTGCTTAAGATTTCTGAATGTTCTCAAAAGGTCAACCCCTGCCGCCACAGACTGTGTTCCAAAATTTATCTCCATTTTGACAAAAATAAAGAGCTTCAAAGAAAAAGGAAAAATGAGAAAGGGCAAGAGAAAACAGAGAACTCTTTCTTGTACATATTGAAAATGGTTTACACATTTTCTACATGACTTTTATCCCATTTGGAGAATAACAAATCCTCTAAGATTTAATGCCAAATAGGTCTAAATGTATGCTATGGTCTGGAAAACAGGGGAAAAGCAGAAACTTTCATATGAACTGTAGGCGTTAACAGGGCTGGCTTAGCTGACACCACCAACCAGGTAAGCACGAGCCTGGCATTATTAGGACCTAGGATGAAATGCTAATTATTCCACTACTAGCTGATGCCATGGGCAAGGGTAAGATAATATAACTTTTTGAAAGCTACACTTCTTCTACATAAAAACAGAGATGAAGCCTATCAAGGCTCAGTCAACGAGAAGACCGGAAGTGCTGAAGTCTATGTAATAATCTGCTTATCTGGTTTCATCTCCCAAGGTCCCCTTCCTATAAAGCCATGGTGGCTGGTGCCATCGCAAGAGCCTCACAACGCAGGACAGTAGAGTTGTCTGTAGGACACTGGACTCCCAAGACCAGTGAATGCGTGGAAAGAGAGATGCGGACAGTGGACTGTAATAAATTTTGCAGACAAATTTTGAATTTAAGGCGCCCCATGAATGTGGGAGCAAAGTAGTCCTGAACACAAATGGACCCATGGATCCGGGGCCCAAGTGAGGTGCCACCATAGGAAATCAGCTGGGGGAGTCACTGTTCCCAACCCCGACTGTGCATCAGAATCAACTGTGTTTCTAAGGTTTCCAGAGTACTGATTTAATTGTTCTGGGGAAGGGCCTGGGAATCAATCCTTTATTTATTTTCATTTAACCAATGTACTTCATTCAAATACTTTATTTTTTAAATTCAAGAAAATTTCATGAATTATTTGAATTCTTATATGCATTTATTTTTAAGGCAAAGTTCACATAACATAAAATTAATCATTAAAAGTGAAATGTTCGGTGGCATTTGGCATCACTACAACACTGTACGTCCATCTCCCATGTCCAGTCCCACACCCTTTCACCATCCTCACAAGGAAACCCTGCACCGGTTCAGCAATCAGAACTCAATCCCATCCCCTGCTCTCTGGCTCCATGGACTGGTCTATTGTGAATACTTCATATGAATCAAACCATACAAGGTGTGGCCTTTCTTCAGTGACTGCTTTCTTTCACTAAGTAGGCTTTCTACGTTCACTCATGTTGTAGTATGTCTCGCTATTTCACTTCTTGTATGACTGAATAGTATTCCATTCTGTGGGTATGCAACATTTAATTTAGCCATTTATGAACTGATGGACATGGGGCTTTTTCAACCTTTTGCTAGCATATGCATGTCCAAATATTATACTGATTATTTGTTTTTAATTTTTTTGAATATATACCTAGAAATGGAATTGTTTGATCATATGGTACTTCATAGTTAACTTTTTGGGAGAAATAGTTTCTGTGAAGTTCTCCAAATGATCCTATGTCAAGATGATATTAAGAATCACTAATGTATCAGGCTGTAAGCACAGATGGAAAAGATACAAAGGGAAGACAAGAAGTGGGAACATGACAGGGTCAGAAGTAAAACCTCGTGAAAACAACATACCAGAAGCTGTCAAAGCCTGTAAAGAACATGTTTAAATAGGGATGTGCACCCAAAGAGAATCACAGCAAATATTGAAAGGAGCTGGAAATCAAAAAAGGAACTGAAAGAATATAGCACATATGGCAAAAGAAAGGTCAGGTACACTAGCTTCCTTGAGGACTCATTTCTAGGAACCTGGACATAGATAAAATGCTAACTATTCCTTATTCATGATTTATACTTATGGGCAAAGATCCCATCTTTTCCCCTTTACTCTTTCATGGCACCCAAGAAAGGCCATAATCAAAGTCTTAGACTGTTCAGTTAACACTTGAAGAAATACAATGTCAAAATCTCTGCTGCCCACAGCAGTAAACTGTGGAGAATCCTAACCAGTAACTACTTTACCGACTGTATTATAACCCTTCTATGATTTTAAACCACATGGAGAATATCTGAATATAGCAATGTATGATTAGAAAAAGTATTTGATCTTAATTTCGGCAAAAAAATACACTCTTACATTGGTCCCCATTTTTATATAACATTTACCGATCCCTGAATCAGTATTGATAAGAAAATGTATAATTACTTCCCAGTAATTTATTTTTCTTCTGTTAATAAAGAAATGGGTAACTCTTACAACTCCTACATTCTAAGTATGAAAAGTGGTAAGGTTGAAGTTACGTTTGAAGCCACATATTAAATGTAGCTTAAGTTGAAATACTCAACGAGCAGAAGTACTTTTCTGTTTTTTAAAGTACATGTTAATGTTGTTGTTGTTGTTCATTTTAAGTAGGAAATCAGTCAAGAAACATTCCTGAGGGCCGGAAAACAGTGCCCCATTGTAGATTCACTTGTTCAATTAATGCTTCTGTTTTGCAGACACAGTATTTAATTTGACATTTTCTCTTTCTGTGCCAATTGCAGTTTGAACTCTTACTTTCAGTGATCTTAAACACAGCCTTGTGTGACACACAAAACACCAAACCAGCAGCCAAAGCAAGGAGAAAAAGATGTTTTGCTTTAGTATCAAACACCTGGCAAGAAAAGAACAAGTTCCCATAAAGTCTTAAAGCACTCCTGGCTCTCCCTTGAGAATCCAAATGGATGCATTCCGTCTCCTCTTTGAAAACTGGGGTACATTTTTGGCATGCTCACTTGGAATCACAGTTCACCAGACATTCTTACACTCCTTCTTGTTTCTGGTGCCGCTGGTCACTTCTGTCTACCAACAAGGAGGGGGCTCTGCGGTCAGTGTGGTGGTGATGGGGAGGAGGACTTACTCACGCTGACTACTCATGATGATTGGAGGTCCTGAGGTGCGGGATGCACAGAGATGAAGCTCCTACCCACTCAGAAACTTCAATACTATAGACACCACACAGGGAAAAACACGAAGAACAGTTTCCTCACCACTCTCAACCTTCTTGGCCTTTCATGGCCACTCGTCTTTGCAGTAGCCAATTTTGCTTATAATTCTGACTTTCAAATCTAAATCAGAACTGGAGCCAGTAGTCAACAGAATGTAACAGCGTCCTAGTGAAACCCTCTCAGACCCCTTGGAGAACCAACAGAACCTAACACAAAAACTGGGACCCAATCAAAGCTCCTCTTTAATGGAAAAGAAATGTCCAGGACCCTCAGGCAGGAAGCATGAGCCTCCCTAGCTCTGGGAAGTCAAGCTCAGAAGCCCAGGATGATGGCCCCACAGGTAAGACCCTGCGCCTTCTCACTCTAGACAGTGTCTTCAACCTACTCACCACTGTGACTACTGAAGTCCTGGCTCCATTTCCCTTTGTCTCTCAAAAGACAACAATCAAAACTAAGATGCAAAAGCCACAAAGTACCTTCCACAAAATCTGGGAAGCACCACGTTAAAAAAAAATCCTATTTTTGCTTGGCACCTCTTTTTAAAATACAAAACTCGAAGCCAAACGTCCTTTCTGAGGACATTTCCCGTGCATCCACCCCGTTCACAGAAGCACAGGACACGGGCGTCAGCACAGACATCCGCACAGCCAGCATTGTCCCACCTGCAGCATATGACGGCTTTACAGGAGAGCGCCAGGTCCAGGAAGCTCCTGCGGACCTCGAAGGACAGCGCGTACTTCAGGGTGTGGCCGTCTATGATGAGAGCCACGTCGTTCTCCTTGCCTAGCAGATTCCCGAGGTCTGTGCAGTGCTGAGTGATGGCTGCCCGGGTGGCCTGAAATGAGAGCAGAGTGGGGAGGACGGTTGGGTGGTGTCGCAGCTAATGTATAAAAGCAAAACCGAATCCAAGGTAGTTGCTTGAAACGAAAACATGCTCATTTTAAGGGGAAACAGGCAAGAATGCAATGTGGTGCAGTCGTGCTTTGATGGGTAAACACATCCTCATAGTGAGATCCATCTGACACACACTATAGTCGTCTCTCATTGGGGTTCACGGTTGGGGTCCATGGCTCATCTAATGTACCCGACTATTCTCCCCCTGAACTGTAACTGCTAAGCATCCGAAAGACTGCCTTTCTCTCTTCTCTCCCACTCCACACATAACTTTTGGTCCACCTGGGATAAGGAATCTAACATGCTTTTGGAAACTTGAATGGCAAACACTAGCTATTCTTCAGTTTCCACAGGGTAATTTTTAAAGCATCCAAAGATACCAAGAGCTATAAAAACAGCACAAAGGGGATTCATTCATGTTCCTGCTGAGATTTGCAGATTAAAACATTCTTTCCACGTACGATCAGAATAAAAATGCAGCTGATCAATTGCATGTTATAGAAAATCAAACTAAGCTGCCAAAAATGTACCAACACATCGCTACCAGCCTAAGCAAGTACCTTGATGTGGTATGTGTTGTCGTATGGAATTAAACCATAACAACACTCAATATTAAAGTACAATGATATTTGCATTTTCCCTAGGAATGTTAACCTATTAATAGGGTATCTAACTCAAACATAAAAAACTTAGTTCATGCTTATGAGGAGGCACAAAATTCCACTAAAAGTATTGTCTAGATCACTGTCCTTTGGTTATTAAATAATATTTACTTGCAATTTATCAAATGATTACATAAACTATGATCTTCAAGCAATGTGTTTAATAAATGGAAATCTTTCTTCCTCTACTTAAAATGAGGATGAGGTGTTTTTGCAAAGTGAAAAACAGTTTCTATCATTGTAGTGCTCAGTTTTTATCCTCAAGAAGAAATTTTTGAAAATACAAATACAATTAAGAAGAAAGTGGAATAGAGCCCTATGCTGCGGCCAGATGACCTAAGGTCCTGACTTTCCACTTCCTACTGTTATGATCTTGTGCAAGATGCTTAGCCTCTTTAAAATAAACTGCAGTGTTCCCCTGTGTAAATGGAGCTGGAAACACTTCATCGCATTTTTCTTATGAACAAATGAACCAATCAGTGTCAAGTGCCTAGGGTTGGGCTGGGCATGCAATAAACAATAAAATCAGTTCTTTCCCCCCTTACAACTATATTCATTAAGAGTTGCCTATATTTACTAAGTGTGTAGTTTCAGCACTTTGAGAGGCAGAGGCAGGAAGATCACAAGATTGAGCCTAACCTGAGAAATTTAGTGACTTAGTGACTTAGACCCTGTCTCATAATAAAAAAGTCTGGGAATGCAGTTCAGTAAGGAGGTCATCAGTGTAGTAGTATACTATAAAAAGGAAGGAAGGAAGGAAGGAAGGAAGGAAGGAAGGAAAGAAGGAAGGAAAGACAACCCACAGAGTGGGAGGAAAAAACTTTAGTTGTTGATATTAGACGAAGGACTAATATCTAGAACACAAAAAGAACTGAAAAAAAAAAAATGGATTCCCCAAACTTAAAGACCCCAATTCAAAAATGGGCATCTGCGATGAATAGATACTTCACAGAAGTACAAATAGCAAATAAATACATAAAAAATGTTCAGCATCACTGATCATTCAAGAGGTTGCAAATTAAAACAAAGCTGAGATTCCATCTCACTCCAGCAAAAATGGCCATCATCAAGAAATAAACCAAATTCTGGCTGTGGAGCAAAAGGAATCCTTTTCCACTGTTGGTGTAAGTGTAGACTGGTGCAACCACTGTGGAAATCAGTGTGGAGATTCCTCAAAATAGTAAGACTAGAGATCCCACTTGACTCAGCTGTTCTCCTTCTTGGTATCTTCCCAAAAGAGTTAAAAGCATCATACCACAGTGATATATGTATACTCATATTTATAACAGCACAGTTTATAAGAGCAAAATCTTGTAAACAACACAAATGCCCATCAATTGAGGAACAGATAAAAAAAAAAGATGTCTTTTTATACAACAGAGTACTACTCACTATAAAGAAGGATAAGTTTGAGACCTTTATAGCTAAATGGATGGACCTTGAGACTATACTCTTGAGAGAAATAAATTGGACAGATATGTGTAAATATCACATTGTCTCTCTAGTGTGAGAAGTTAAAAGTGTCAATAAGAAGCAAAACATCTAATGGGTATTGTGAAACAGGAAATAACTATTCAAAGGGAAAGGGAAATCGGGTGGGGGGATGGAAGGGAAAAGAAAAAATGAGAAAAAAAGGATAAAAAGGGAACAAAGTCTTACAAATAAAGGAAGGAATGAGAGATTGAAGACAGGGAAGAAAATGGGGAAAAAAGAGGAACTAAGATATATCACATACAGCTACAAATTTCCTACAATGAATGTGATCATTACATATATCTAAATCATACCAATAAACACAATTATTAAAAAATAAAGAAACTATGCATACATTCTGCTTCACATAGAATGAATGCCATCATTGATAATGCTTCCATGTAGACAAAATATAGATGAATAATTAATAGAATGAGTTAAAGCTATATTGGTTTTTATTAAAATGAAGGTAAGCTTATAGTTCTTATTACTTATGTAATTATAAATATCAAATAAACATCCTCTAAACATCTATGCTAATCTATGAAAATCACCTGCCTTTTAAAATTTGGAGTCAAGAAATCCTTCCTACTTAGAGAAATCCCACCTTGACAGTTAGTGATTGCCTGTCTTGCTGGGAACTCAGACAGGTCTGGACAACTCCGCCAAGGGCCAATGAGTTGAGGACAGAAAACCTCCTGAGAAATACGCAGTTCGGGGTTGGAGCCAGGCAGGCAGATTCATCGGCAGTTCAGCCTGATGCGGAAGCAGCACTCGGTTTATTTCCCTCATGGACATAAGCCTGGACCCCAAGGGGACAACACCAAGGAATAAAAGTCCCAGAGATACAGACCATGCCTGTGTTTCTCTGTCATTGCTGATCCATTTTTTAAAGCAGGCACAGCACGAGTGAAGATCCACAGAATTGTATCAGAAAGGTCACCTTCTCAGCTGAGCACAGTTCAGTAGCACGCATGAGGATAGTCTATGCCAGGGAATCCCTGAGCAACAGAAATGGGTGCTGCAGTTTGAATGTGTCCCCAAAGTTCCTGTGTTGAACACATCACCATCAATATAGCATCACTGAGAGGTGGAGCCTGGGAAAGGGGATTAAGGTCACAGAGGCTCCGCCCTTGAGGGTGGCTGCTGCCTTTGTCCCCAGAGGAGGTGAGAGAGGAAACCAGGTTCACATCTCCCCTGGCAGGGAAGCTGGCTCTCTCCCCGCTCACCCTGCCTGTCTTCCCTGGGATAACAGGGCACCAAGGCCCTCTCCAGATGCATTCCCTCACCTTGGACGGTTCAGCCTTCAGAACTGTGAGCCAAATGAACGCCTACTGTTCATAAGTTACCGAGTTTGTGGTGTTCTTTTAGAGTAGCACAAGATCAATAAAGATGTAAAGCCTGAGAAAGCTGTGTTCCTTCCTCTCCCCTACAAATGCAGGGAGGAGTCCAAAAGGCAGCTGGATATTTAAGCAGGGCTGGAGGGTTGGACACAGGGAAACATAGGTGGCCACTCTTCCTGACAGCCTTATTTTCTCACAACCTCCCACATACTGGGAAAAGGGGGTCCCACCAAGTTGTGCTTTCAAATTGAGCCACAAAATGCGCTACACGAGCCACCCCTCCCTTACGTAGAAACCTATTCCTCAATGTACTGTTATTAGACTGCGTGGTCTTTGGGAGGTGTTTAGGTTATGAAGGTGGGGTCCTCATGGTAGGATTTGTGTCCTAATGAGAGACAGGAAAGTGTCCTCTCTCTGGTTTTCACTCCCCCTAACCATGTGAGGACACAGCAAGGAGATGGCCATTTGCAAAAGAATGACCACAACTTAATCTTGATGTCCCAACTCTCAAAACCATGGAGAATAAATGTCTATTGTTGCAGTCACAGAATCACTGGTATTTTGCTGTCACAGCTGGAGCAAAGGCAAACGCAGTACTATTCTTGTCATCACGGGCACTTAGACAAAAGGACATGGTTTGGTTTTCTGGAAACAGAAAACAAAGCCAGGATGAAAGCAATGCTTTCTACCATGATCAGTATCTGGAATAAGCTTCTAATGTGATGTAGGAACTCCTGTTACAGACGCACATACAGCAAAGAATGAAAATGTGGGAGAAGGCTGCTGTCTTAATCTGGTTTGTGTTACTATCACAGAATCCTTGAGTTTGGAACGTCTGTAATGGACAGAAATTTGTTGGCCTGGTTCTGGAGGCTGGGAACGCCAACATTGAGGGGCTAGCATCTGGGGAGGGCCTTCTGCAGTGTCACCTGACAACAATGGTAAAAGGGAGAGAAAGAGAGAACAATTATCAAACTGGAAGCTTTAAATTCTTCTATAATTGACATTAACCTACTCATGAGGGTGGGGTCCTCATGACCTAATAGCCACTCTTTATGTCCCTCTACCAGCATTAGGGATTAGGATTCCCACACATAAGCTTCGGAGGACACACCCAGACCTCAGCGGCCCCTCAGTACACTAATGCACAGTGCAGGAGGCAGGGCAAGGCCTTCAGGAGCCGGGTGCATGTGGGAGTGGGTGTACCATGGCCTTTTGAACTGCAATCTGCATGTATATAGTGACCACCTGCTCCCAAAGCAGTGAGCGTGCCAAACATTACCAAGTTACACTATAACAATAAAAAAACTCACAGTCTACTCTGTTGACCAGGGATTTTTCTCACAGTATGGAACATTAATAGTTTGCAAAAAAATTAAGCAGTCGCATGTTAGTTCAATTAAGTACTTACATCAACCCCACTTATTTTAATGAGCCAACTAAGATATAGTTATTGCAGTAAG